ACTAAAACCAAAGTTACCTACCTAAATATGTAACATACACGTGGATTAAAATTTATATATAGAATAATATAGTTAAAAATATAAGAGAAGTCATGAACGGTAGAAAGTGTTCTACTATTCAATGAAAAGAACATACGCATATGATGAATCAATGAAAGGGGTTGAATTGCTATCAAGGTTGTATATACTCGTTAATCAAATGTGGACAATGATAGACAAATGTCAAATTGTTTGTATTTAACATGCTTTAGTTAATTCAAATATAACACATATACTCTATGATTATATGTATTCTAATTTTTCTTTGACATACCATGTGTACTACATGTATTTATGCATAAAAATTATCATATAATATCTTTATGCAAATATTCAACATGATAATTAAGTGGAGTCGTTTGTTTTAGGAGTTTAACTTTCATATATTGATAATGCAATTTTTCTTTTTTATATTATCAAATCACTAAAACTTAATTATATGAAATTCATCCATAGTAAAAACATTTGAACAATTTGATTAGAAAGTCATTCAAAATTTATCAAAAATGAAATTAGTATCTAAAGAAATATTGCATATTAAGTTATCATGTAATGGATGGTGATTTTTGAATATCATCACCATCCATTCTTTTTTATAATGGATGGTGATGATATTCTACCTCAACACCTTTACCTATCTTGCTATCATGTTAAAGAAATGGATATTGAGTCTTACTTAGTCCAATAAACTAACTTAAGAGGTGAAAATGGTCAAAGCCATATAAAGATGACAATACAAGTGAGGCAAGGCAAGATGCATCAATATGAGTATATATTACAAATAGAGAAAAAGACATAAAGTGACACTTGAATTTGTTCCGAATTTTCTAAAAAACACTTTAATTATGTGTGTGTCCTATTACCCCACTAAACAATTTTGACATAGAAAGTGTGTGCATTTTCTCAAAGAGAGTGAACAACCTAAAATAACTAATATATTACAAATATGAGTATATATTACAAATGATGTAATAGGACACTTCATTACAAATATAGTATATATTACAAATAAGTTAACTTAAACTAGGGCACAACGAGAAAGGCAATGTTGGACAACATGTCGACAAATGACAAGAGTGGATACAACAGTTTCTTCTTAATCCAATATTTTTAACGTGAAATACACCTACAGAGTTCACAATTTTTATAATATAATAAATTTGGTATTAAAATCAAATCATCACAGGCAGAAGAGTTATTCACCTAACTCTGATTATATAAAATTAGGTCTTGAGCCTAATTTTATACACCCCAAAAGTTAATTCAAAGAAATAATGATTGTCCAAGTCTTATAAAGAAGCCACTCATATTCTCGTTAACCATTGATACGAAACTTTGTCATTTTTCGAGATACTCATTGTCCTCCTTAATGATAATAGGCAACTTAAAGAAATGAGAACCTCACTCATCCATCTGCTTGGTCAAAAAAGGGACAAAGTTAGATAAGACATAACTTTAGACTATACAATTATTTATCAACTTTTCATCTCTTTCCAGCTGGTTTTTAGCCATCATGTTCTTTCATCTATACCACTTTTATTTTTCAATGTCCCCATGATCATCACGTTCCTTATGTTTTAATTTTAAGAATTATCAACTCACATATACTACTTGCCACTACATAGTTTACTATAGTAGAATATTATACTAATTTGAAAGAGCTTTTAATTTTATATTTGATAGCGCTCGATAAAAGCAATTATTATAAGGGAAAAAGGATAAATATACTTTCGAATTATCATCAATGGTATGCTAATACTCTCCGTCATATTTTTGGGACATTGGTGCCTCCTCTGCCGTCCAAAAACTAGAGCATATATGCCCTTCACTCTAACGGAAGACTAAATAGGACACATGACACAATTTTATCCGTCGATTCGATATTTAATAAATGTCGGGTCGGTAGATATGATTATGACACGTGTATGTCCGTTAGTATAAATGGTATATATGCTCTTGTTCTTGGACGGCAGGGGCACCAATATCTCAAAAATATGACGGAGGGTATCTTCATACCATTTACGATAGTTCGGGAGTATATTTGTCCTTTTTCCCTTATTATAATAAATAGTTAAATATACAAATTACGAATGATACACAATATATATATATATATATATATATATATATATATATATATATATATATATATATATATTCTCTGGTTATTGTTTTAATAAAGCTATACAATGTGAAAATCTCAATCCCTTTAGATAATAAATTAAACAAGTAATATTTGAATTATTTTTCAAATTATATGTGCTCAGATATGAAATTATAATACAAATTTAACATAGTATATAGATAAATTAGAGTTACGTTATAAGTTACACATTCACATGAAGATAATAACTTTTACTTAAAACATTGTATAACTAGAATAACGAAAAAGAAAAAAATTAACAACAACAATAATACGAGATTTATCGATGCCAAGTATGATAAATTTCTACCCAACTTCTAGAGCTGAAAAAGACTACATAACAATATAGTCACCATATTCTAGTGGCTGAAAACGACTACATAACAATATAAGTCACACTATTATTCAATAGTAGCAACAACCACAAGGATAAAATATTTGTCATTCTCACTTTTATTTTTAATACATATATAATATTTTAGTATCAATTAAAAACATCAATATAATCCGATACAACGATACTCGTATTCAGACCCAACAAAATCTGAATTTGCATTTGAAAAATTTACATTGAGAGATCAAACGCTTATTATTAAAAATGATTTCATACTCGAGATTTGTATTGAAGACTTCTAATCAAAAGATGATGAATGAAAGACAATCTCGATATTCTAGAAAGTAATTTGTTTTCCGACGTTTTCTTTTATTTACTACTTGGAGTTTTGACAAGGTAAAGCAAATGCCATTCCTTTCCCTTTGAAGAAGGGATACCTTTTTTTTGTTTGTTGTTGTTGAACGATTCCGCTCTAGTTATTATTCTAAAATGAAATGCGATTAAAATATATCTCAATTTAAATAGCAAAAGTTAATAAATCAACTTACCATAACTAAAAGTAAATAAAGAATTGAAGAAAGTATAAAATAACAAATATATTCAGTGTAATTCACAGATGTGATTTGAGAAAAATGATGTGTATACAAATCTTATTCTTATCATGTATATGTAAAGAAATTGTTTTGAATAAATACTCGACTCAAATATCTGTCATTTGTCTATTTTTATTTGGTCAATATTTATTTTGACACACTCAGAGCAACAAATATGTTAATGTCCTTTTAACATATTAAAAAAAGATAATTTTTTTTCTTATTTTACCCAGTTACTTATTTATTAAATTATTTTTTAAAATAAAATATTATGTATCAATTAATATGAATATTATTATAATATTCATATAATTATTATTTTATTTAAAACATATCAAATTCAAAATGAATAAGTAAAAATGTCAGAAAGAAAATACATACATAATGCTTGTCGTTATTTCTCTATTTTATTTATGACAATCAAGTTTGATCTAAATGCACTTTGATTATTTCATTCAACAATTGTTTTTCCTAACCGTACAAATACCAATTAGTATGTCCACCAACATTGGAACATAAGAAAAAAGTAAATTGGAACATAACAAAAAGGTGTATACATTCTCCGTTTCATATTAATTGTTTATGTTGCTCTCATTAATTTACATTAAGTAAATTAAGGTTGCATATTTATTGATTCAGTTCATTTTTAAAGTATATTGATTTGAATTATTGATTATTGATTTATAAACATATTAAATCGTTATAGTGTCATTAAAATATTAATTTATAGGTTATCGATTTATTAGTTATTAATCATTATCAGTTTGGTTATTGATTTAACCATTAAGATTTGACACAAAAAAATTAATTGAAAACCACTAAGAAATATGGTGACAAATCAAATAAATTATGCACATGAGTTGATAGATTATATTTTGTTCAAAAGCAACACTGATACGTTGTAGAACAATAAAAAGTTTGAGACTGTCAGAAATAAAAATATAAAGTTAAATCCTATGTCAAGAACCTTATATATCGAATGCTATAAATATAATTTATTAATTTGCTAATCAGGTTATCGATTAGCGCCCGTTAAGAATAAACCTCAATCATTAACAATCGATAACCCGATAATTAAAAAAATCAAAATCGTTATCAGAATGGCTAAACCAATAGCCAATTATCTATAAACCAATGGTTTTTTTCATTATATTTCGATATAGTTTTGAACAACCCTTAAGTAAATTATTATTTTTTTAAAAAAAAAAAAATCTCCATAACTAATACATATATAAGTTCTAATAATTTTATGTATTATTTTATGAAATACCTATTATATAAATAATACATGAATAATTAATTTTACATATAATAATGCATACATTAACCTATAAGGCTATAACTAATCTCTATATTAGTAATACATGCATAATTTTAATCAACTCAAACATTCTCTTTACTTAATATAGACTAGAGATAGTACTATTTACTCTTTGTCTAACAATACCCATTATTGACTTTGCATATTTCTTAAAAAATTATAAATAAATGGTTAATTTTACTATATCACCCTTTGAATATAATAAATACAATATTTTGAAAAATGTAATAGAGATATAACTATAATTAATGAATGATAAATCAGGAACTAAATGTGAAATTATTCATTGATTTCATAAAATAGACAAATATTATTAAACATTCTAAAATAATATAGTGGACAACTATTGTTAAACGGAAAGAATAATTCTTTTATAATTCAATGTAAAGGAAGTATAGACATCCTAATTATAAATGTGTCATAATATGTGAAGTTATAAAACATTTAAAATTCATATTTTTACAACATTGACATGATAATATATATTTTTAGTTTGAAAAGATATACTGCAAATTAATGAAGAATAGAAATAAAATATGATTCAACACTTCTATTTATTCTCTAAAATCACCTCTATTAGCACTAATACAATATTCCCAATTTTAATTATTCCGGTATACTCACAAGCATAGGTCGCCAAACCCTTTTAAGCAACCGTTGCCGGAATGTCGCCGACAACGGCCGCATCGATCGGACTCCGATTTCTCTAACCGCCGATCCAATACCACCGCCGCCGGCACAATCAATTTCCGGCGGAAATCTCCCTCTCGAATTATCCGGCGATGGAGGAGATGAAACGAACAAATCCTTAAGCTTGTGGCTTCCTACCATTTCCTTTACTTGATCCGGCGAATCTCCATCGCCGGAAATCCGATCCGGTGAAGCATCGTCTCCGGACGACACCGAACTACCACTTCTACCTCCACCTCCGCCGCCGCTACCACCGCCGCTGTTGAGGCTGAGGAGCATACGAAGAGTCTTCCGGCGACGGATGTGAATAACTGGGCTAGTTGTTGGGCTTCGAGTCGGACTCCCCGCTACCGCACATTGTGTCGCTAATAGCTTGAATTTTTGCAGAGTCGCCATTGAAATTAAATTAGATGAGAAAATAGATGTAAATTTAAGAGTATATAAGGCAATTCAATGGAGTATTTAATTTTAAATCTCTCGATACTCAAAATTTCATATATATTATATCGAGTTTTCGTTTAGCGAAAATGACTTTGCAAAATTGAATCGATTGATTGAAAGAACGGAAAGAGAAAGAATGGAAATATGGAGATAGAAAGTGAGATCTAAACTTTATTGGGTAGGGGGCGGCCATGGATTCTTTGTGTTTCGTCTAAAAATGATATAGTAAGTACGTAGCTAAAAACAGTGTAATAAATGAGTGACCATTAAGGTTGAATAGGCCATTCTTTAGACAATATAGAGGGGCCGGAGTGGCATTAAATATTTTTTTACAACATGTATAATAAAGGGGGAATTTTAATTACGATTCGTAGCTACATGTTAGAGGGATAACTGATAAGGGAGGCGAGTGAGATTGGGAGAGGAAGGAGAGAGGTGAGCGAGAGAGGATAGAGAGTAGAGCGATGCGAATTGTATGTGTATATATGTCAAGTAATTGTATATATGTAACTGATATACATATGTATTTGTATATTTAGCGAGCGAGATTGAGAGAGGGAGGAGAGAGGCAACGTAATAATTTCCCCTATAAATATTTATTCTTTCTGAAATACTTTTTCTATTTTAATTTATGTGAATGACTTAGAGTACGATTCTCGATATAAGGTCTTTAGGGAATCTTTTTCGAAATACTAAAAATTGAACAATGGAAATAAGATTAAGCTTCTTACGAAATAATTGGAAAAGTGAGGTGTGTATAAGTATAATATAGCAGTAGAATTTGCTCATACAATTTAAAATGGACCGAGTCATATAACTGCTAAATTTGCGTCTAACATACGAGGAGACATAATTCAAAATAGAAAATAAATCTTCATATAATTTTGGTATTGTTGGTTAATGTCATCATTTTGTCTATGATAAAGTTCATGAGGGGCTGGGTGGCTTGGCCGGGATCGGAATTATGATCAAACATGATATTGCTTGGTTGTCAAGTAATTGTATATATGTAACTGGTATACATATGTATTTGTATATCTAGCGAGCGAGATTGAGAGAGGAAGAGAGAAGAGAGAGGCCTAATTGTATTTATATATCTGTCATATAACTGTATATGTATATGTATAATTTGTATTTGTAAATGTATAAAAGAGGAGAGGAGAGAGAGGAAGAGGGAAAGAGGCGACATAATTACAGTTAAAATTAAGTTGCGAGCCGTATTTAATTCAAACTATAGCTATGTTAGCTAATTAATTAATATATATTTGCTTCTCCGTTTAATTTCCCCTATAAATATTCATTCCTTATGAAAATACTTTTGCTATTTTAATTTATGTGAATGACTTGGAGTACAATTCTCGATATTATGTCTTTAGGGGATTTTTTTTCAAAATACTAAAAATTGAACAATGGAAATAAGATTAAGCTTCTAACGAAATAATTGGAAAAGTGAGTTGTGTATAAATTACTACATAGTATAAGAGTCTACTAGCAGGCATTTGTTCGTCAACATGGTTGCTTGCATGACAGTATTTTATTTTATTTTTTGGTATTTGCTTATCTTTTGCTGCTTAAGTCTTTTGTATCTTGGTGCTTTATAAATGTACCTTTTCTCCATCAGGCAAAAACGACAACTAACATTTAAATAATTACGCATATGTCCTATCAAAAGATTTGCTTAATTTGATATTTGTGGGCCCACCTACTTATTCATGTTGGCTGAGAATTAATTTGTAACATCTCGCACCTAGAAACGACTATAAAGAGTTTGAAATGTGAAAATATTGATTTTTGGAAAGAATAAGGAAATCTGGAAATTTTGGTCTAAGTTAAGAAAGTGAGTTTGGCCATTTTCAAACGGCCATAACTCCTAGCTCAGGAGGAGTTAGGAGCATATCTTGATATGGTTGGAAAGCCCTTGGAGAGATTTTTCCATCGCCGCCGAGATTGCACGATTTTGACATCGTATGAGTGAGATATGCCTTTCGGAAGTTGGGTTGTTGGATTGAGGAAAGTCCCAATCCGGATTTAGGGAAGGGCAAAGTAATCTTTTCTCTAATTAATTTTCTAATTTGATTTTAGGGATTTATTGGGGTAAAAACATGACTTAGTCAGTTTGGAGAATTGAGTTCATTTCTCATAAGTTATTAAGGGACTAAGTATTTCCAAAGAGTTTATAAATGTTTTCACATTTGAGCAAGAAAGGGAGCATCAATTTCAAGAGAGCTTTTCAGCTAAGTTTTGAGTAATTACCTCAATTTAAAGAAAGAGTTTTGTTTTTACAAATATATGAGCTAAGTATATTTTGGGAGTAGTATTGAGCACCGATATGGGGATGCGAGTTCATATTAACTCAAGTCTCCATAAACCATGTAGCCATCATGGGTAGTAAATGATCATACTTTTTAGATGACTCCTTAAGATGCTTTTGACATAGACTAGTGGATCCACTAAGTTAAGCGTTCTATATGACGGCAAAGTATAGGACAGTTCTGGCAGCGTGGGCAAGACGTTGTATCACCACTTAGGCTCATAGTGGTGGTTGTCGGTTAGAGAATCTCCCACAAAAGTTATATTACTTTTATATTTAAGTAAAGTTGAGTTTGTTATTGCTTTATCTTTACCGAACTAAGTTGTTTACACTGTTTTATAAGCTTTATATACATTGCATGTGTCTTATTGGTTTATATTGAGTTCAGTTGTTCATGAGTTAAACAGAGCCAAGGTAAGTGTTCCTTTGTACTCCTTTCAAGCTTAAGTTGTTGTTTAGCTTTCCAACTCGCATACTCGTACATTCAATGTATTGATGCCAGTTGGCCTGCATATTATTATGATGCAGACACAGGTAACCAGGATCAGTATCCAGCATGCCGTTGATCCAGTTGAGCACTCCAGAGTCAGTGGTGAGCCTTCTTGCATTCCGGAGGACTCTGTCATTTCGTTTTCCTAGTTTTGCTTTTTTAGGATGTTGTGGGGTCTGTCCCAACATCCATCTCAGTATTATAAAGGCTTCATAGACAGTCAGACAGTTAGTATTGAGTCTCTCATCTATGTATTTGCAGATACTTTGTTTTGAGACATAAGTTGCCATTTTGGCTAATATGTTATCATTTAAACTATTGCATTGAGTTTATTCTGTTGAGTTAAGTCTTACGCTGAGTTAAGTAAGCCAGGCCAAGGGTCCGCTTTGGGCCAGCGATGGTCTCAGAGTGCCAGCCACGTCCAGGGTGTAGGCTCGGGGCGTGACATAATTACTCCATATATTATTCAGGAAAACATGATCTCATTTAGTGACAAGTTATCCCAGGATTAGTTATTCTGGGTTAGTTATATTGGGAAAACTTATCACACCATGTATATGGGATAACTTATCTCATCACTATGATATAAATTGTGCGATAAGTTATCCCAAACATGACTACCAAATAAGATACAAAAAATTTATCTCATCACTATTTATTTTTATCCCTTACACCAAATGATCCCTTACTGCTTATTGGAGTACTATTTTGTATTGTTTTTATTTTAATTTATGTCTCACTTTTGTTTTAGATGATTATATATTTAAGAATTTACATTAAAAAAAATAGTACTATGTAACAATAATTAAAAAATTTAAAATATTTTAAAATAAATTATATATTTACAAATTATATAAAAATTAGTAATATATATCACAATAATTAACAATTATTTGACTTTCCAAATTCTATGAATATCACATAAGTTAAGAATATTGGCTCAAATCCACTAACAAGTAAATTTCGTATAATACATGAAAATTATGCGTGTATGAAAATTGTATACAGTTGGTATTAAATATGTATATTTCTCAATGTGAATGTTTTTTAATTTATAGCATAGTTGATTGTATGAAATGCGTAGAAATTATGTATATCTTAGACTTAAAGATTTTGATTACTGATATGTGTATGAAAATCGATGTGTATCAATTTGAGATATGTGTGGTTAATGTGTTTCGTATATTGTATACATTATGTATAAGAAGGATACGGTGTATAGTTATTATGAGTATGAAATGTGTATAAATTTCATATACTTTAATCTCGATTTATTTATTTTTTGAAATTTTAAGGACTTCTTATTTTGGAAGAAGAGGGTATAATGTTTGCATACGTGAAAATTAAAGAGATAATAAACCTTTTATTCCTTATTTTGATTTGAAAAAAATGTTCTGTAACGACATGTTCCCGTCGTTATAGAAAAACTAACGGGAATTTTTTTTGGAGTCAGTAAGGTCTAGGGAAATCTGGTAACAATTGGGTGATCCAATTATGATTTTGATCACATGAGTAGATAGCTAAGACGTTAAGGAACCCGTACAACTTTACAGAATTGAATTCGGGCAAGTAGAACTCCCGAAATCGATCTTAGCGTGAGAGGGTAATTTTTGAGTGTCATGTGACGAATGTGTGTTGTGAAATGGGGGTTTGGAAATTCTTTATTGAGCTATCTATTTTGTGCAAGCCGCTATGGCGAAATTTTGTGCCGCCAGGGTGGGGCTGCTGTAGCGGGGTGAGGACCGTTATGGCGGGACACACACGACTTAAGTTGGAAATAAACCCCAAAAACGTTTTATTTTGCATTTTTCTACTTTGAGAGCTAAGAGACGACCCCAGGTGTTTTCTTGACAGTTTTCCACCATTCTTGAGGCTAAATGTAAGGTTTTCACTCCCCGAATCCATTTTTCGATCCGTAAAACTTAGTTTCGTAGGTAATTATTGTTGGGGAAGGGTTTTGGAACTGTTTGGATGGTGGGAAAAGCCCTAATTTTGGATATTGGGATCATGGGTTTGATCTAGGGTTGATAGTGTTGACTTTAATCCGGGTAATTAGACATTGTTTATTGATTCCCGTGTTATTATGATTGTTTGTAGATCAAGAACAGGCGGAAAGAATCCTGAAAGGGAAGAATCAAGTTTCTTAGGGGATTCAAGCTTTGTTTGTGGTAGGTGATGGTTGTGATTCATGTTGTGTTATATATGTTTGTTCTTGCTTCATTATAATACGTGTATGTATGCGAATGTTGGATTATTGATCACAGTTCAACCTCTATACAATCAAATATAAATGACTATTTTTGTCATTTTCTCTTAGATAAGATACATTTTGACTATTGTTTCCTTATCATGTGATTCCAATAAATAAGAAAAGAAAAAACAAGTGCTATTCATGTGATGTTACAAGAAAGAAAAGTAGGAGTAGTACATAAAAACTTGACAAGAAGGCAACATATAAAGTTAATTGATCCACAACCGTCTCACACAATATAATTGGTTTAATTAGCATTTTATAAAATTTATTTTTAAATTTTGATAATATTTTCTTTATCTCATAAGACTCTGAGTAACATCCTTTTTAATCTTCCCACTTTTAGATAATAAATACAAAATACTTAAAACTTTCTTTCTTTAACTCTGAATAACTTATATATTAAACTTCACTTTCATATCCGTCTCAATATAAAAAAACTAGTATATATATTTTTGTCATTTTCTCTTACATACACTTTGACTAGTTTTTGCATACATGTGATTCTCTTAAAAGAGAGAAAAAGAAACCAACTTCCATTCATGAGATGTCATAAAAAAAAAAGTACATAAAACTTGACAACAAAGCAATAAAAAACAAAATCTCATGCAGAAAAGTCCAAGAGAAGTTGTGATTAAGAGGCAACTTCATTAACAATATCTTGTAGTTTTCTTTCTAATACTTCACAACATATTTGTCCCTTCATGTTGTAGAAAGACTTGAGATCAGATAATTGTTCCACAGACATTTTCCCCATTATCTTTCTAGCTAACCCTTCTCTCTCCTCATTCATCTTTAATTTCTCTAAGTAAGAACATCCATTTCTTACTGTGGCTCCCATCTCAATTAACCTTGTCTCTTGTTGGATACTCAATGCTGTATTTGACTACAATATTACATAATCAACCACAATCAAGGATTAGTATATAAGTTATATTTATGGTGAGCATAAGGTTAATCATGTATAAACAATGTAATTTTCCTTCGGAAGAAATTTAAATGAATTTAAATATATCGGTCCTATCTGGCTCTGCACCTACTTTTAGATTAATTAAAGTATATCTTTAATTAGGTCTTTTTGAAATATAAAATTTGCATATAATTTTAAATTATGAACATGTTACCTGCTATAACAAGTAAATATGATGGATAACATTTTTTTACATTAATGAAGATATTTGTGATAAGGTAGAAGTGATTTTTGTGATGCAAGATGAGTGCAAGACTGAAACGGTTTGAACATGCGAAGAGGAAATGCCTAGATGCCTCAATGGAAATCTGAAACGTTGGCAAGGATGAGTTTAAAGAGGAGTAAGGTAAACCGCAGAAATAGTAGGGACTGGGGAGAGGTGATTAGAAAGGATATGACACAACTTCAACTTATCAAGGATTTAACCTTAGATATGAGGACATGAAGGTTACAAATTAAAATAGAAGGTCAGAAATATATGTACACTCTACGTATACCCTCTCCTAACTCACGTATATAAAAATACACTTAAGTATGCCATATGTATAATTTAAACTCATTTAGAATATGTGCTCATAATCATGATAAAGTAATGATTAACTTATATCAATTGTTGTACTGACTTAATTTCACGTGTGATCACTGAATTTATAAAATTATTTTATATATATATACCTCTAGGAACTCTGCCCCAGCATCCAAGTCAGATTCTTTTGATGGATGCATCTGGCTGCTTCCTTCATATATATTCCTAGCAAGAGAAAAACTTCTAACTATAATTTTCCTCTTTTTTTCCATTTCTTGATTAAGCTTTATGGGTTTTTTGACACTTGTTGATAACTTCTTGTTGTAAGCAACTACAGCTTTCACAAACTCCTGCAAATTAAATAACATTCAACTAATTAATAAGATATAAGCCAAAAAGAATAAAAATTCTTACCCAAAACATTTTAGTAGCTAGTTAGAATTATTAATATATTAATAATGTAAATATTAGTTATGCGTGTATTAATTATTTCATCGCTTACTCCACATAATATAATACACAAATTTTTTCATAACTTATACATTTATTAGTTATACGGAACCATATGTCGTATTAGTTTTATTCATGAATAGTTTGATTCTTAGCTAGCAACCAAACATTTTATAACTTATATCTAAAATAATACATGAATAAGTTTCTTCTTTACTAGCTACCAAATGATCCGAAATAATATTAATATATTACAGCAAGTTATAACCTGCATTATTTTTTTTAGTTATTAATCTCACATATTTTATCCATCATATATACATAGTTATTTTTTATGTGATCTGATTATATAAAATTTCTTTAACACTATCATTGTATATAAGTTAATTGTCACAAAACATACGGTACAATATAAGAGACATTTAGTGGCTATAAAACATTAAGCGACAATTGAGTTGATATCATTGCATCTAGAGTCATTAAGGTTTTTAGCGATAGTTATATAAAGTGTTGGTTATAAATACTCATATTATATTACTACCCCTTAATGTAATATAGCGATAATTATATTATTACCACTAAATAAGTATCGTTAAATTCTTTATTTGTTGTAGTGACAGAAGAGTTGAGAAGTGTATAGAAAAACCTGATAAGCAAAAGTGCATCCAGGATAATCAAACTCATCTGTATCTTGTTGTCTCATTCTCTCTGGATGAAATTGAAGTCCCATAATAAATTTACCTTCCTCAGGATTATAAGCATCAGGATCATAGAACCCTTCAATTAAACCATCATGTGAAAATGCCATAGGAACAAATCTTTGAGCTAATTTCTTGACTCCTTGATGGTGATAACTATTCACACAAATTTCCATTTTATCATCTTCTAGTGAATCTTTGAACCAATAGTGCAATGGGGTATTTTCAATAATCTTGACAATATGCCTATGATTATCATAGTTATCATAATCAATGTGAACTACCTTTTTGTCTTGAGGGAGGTTTCTTGAGAGATCTTTCTCAATGTCTCTGTAAAGAGTTCCTCCACATGCTACATTAAGTACCTACATATTAAAGACACGTAGACAAAGGTGGATTCAGAATTTAATCGTGACAATATTTTAATTTTTGACACTATGTTTTTTAAAAAAAAAATTAAATCAAAGAGTTACTACTAGTGAGATTCAAACAAACGAAATTCGTATATTTTGACTTTTTCAAGGCGCGTGAAATCACTGGGCTACAACACCTTGTTGTTTTGACACTAAATTTAATTTGTTGTATTCAAAATAAATAAGAATGAAGTGTCAAAAACACACCTAATTATTTTACTGAAAAATAAGTAATTTTCTTATATTTTGTGTTTAATATGTAAGTTGAAAATATTATCTTAAAAGTTATATGTGTATAATCTATTCAAACAATATAATAAGAGGTGTAGGTGGGGGTTAGGAGTGTGGGATTGTATGGTTGGGGGGCTATGAGGGTAAGGGCAGGGGTGAGATTTGTGGGGGATCAGACAATTAATGTTTAATGACAGTATTTGTTTCTCTTATTTTTACTATGAAAGTTACTTTTCTCATTATAACGTTGTTATAGAGAAATTTGACTGTGTACCTGTGACCCTCGACATATTCCCAAGTAAGGTATGTTCCTTTCAAGACAGAGCTTTGCCAATCTCAGCTCAATTGTGTCCTTTTCTTTGTCAATGGCTGTATCACTCACATGTTGTTTTCGAATTTCTTCTATTTCTTCCGGAGACAGATGATTGGATTCGTCGTCGTATAGAGAAGGGTCTATATCTTCTCCTTCACATAGAAGAACTCCATGAATTGGTTCAAAGCTTTCCAATAACATATGGACCCCTGAAACTCTAGGTACAATTACTGGGACAGCTCCATAGCTTACTATAAGATCAAGATGATATTCTCCTGTAAAAGTGACAGAATCAGAAATTCTAATAAAGCGATCCAAGAATATGCAAAAAAATGATAAATTGAAAATGCAAGATTTGTTCTGATTTATGTTATGGGAGTTCAGAGTATGAAGGTCAAAATAGTAATTTTGACTCTGAATATGAGTATATATACATATTAGAAAACATTACTACAAGTCAATGTATACTATTTAACTAACATTTACAAAAATTATAATAAACACAAAATTATTTGACTTATCAAACAATAATACTTTCACATGAAATAAAATAGAAAAAAAAGATAATGACGTACCAACAAAATCAACAAACTTGTTCTTGCGAACGGTTCGTCTAGAGACGATGAGGACACGAGGTAAGACTACAGAGAGCTCGGAGGCAGCCATGGCAAGACGACTTGTTAACCTATAAAATCTTCAATTGGTCGAAATGAATTTCTAAATTCGCAAATCTATATGGTTATAATTGTTATAAGTGAGTTGTCAACTACTAGTCAATTGTACATACAAAAATACTAATAAAAAAAAATATTTCTAATTAAAGAGAAGAAAAAAAGATGAAGATGAAATTTTAGTTATATGAATATTGCTATTTATATAGAGAGCTTAATTGAGGTGGTTGAGTAGAAAATAGAGGAAAGTTGAGGGCTTTTTAGAACGATCCGCCGCGTAAGAGCAAACGTAGGCATGGTGAAGATCCAAATCAGGGCGGATCTAGAGGCATGTATATAATTCACAAGTAGGGGTAGGGGCGGATTCAGTGTATAATGTACGGATTTATAGAATTCAGTAACTTTTTTTTATATCGAAATAAATATTTTGAATATTTACATGTGAATTCAGTTATTATCATACTTCTTCTATCACATTTTATATGATGTAATTTGACTTGACACACTACACGATAATAGCTTAATTGGCTCTAAATATTTATTTTTAGCGGCAATTAACACTTTTTTATACGTCTCTAAAGTGTTTAGCGACATTGGATCTAATGACACTTAACTAATGCCGGTAAAGACTTTAACACTCTTTATTAATGTGTCTATTTAATGCCGATAAAAGTTATTTTTACTGTAGTGACATGAAATCTAAGAAAAAAATAAACACTTTTGAAACTTGTGGTTTAAATGAGTAATAGATGTTTATGTGATCTTTACATACGGTTAAAATAATTTTTATATATATATAGTAGATGTCAAACCCCTTTAGCTACTTCGTATGTGTACTTCTTCAGAGTTTAAATATTTTTCAATGAAAATTCTAACTCTATCACTAATTTTAGTAGCTATATAGAAATCTACTAAATTCAAATTTTAATTCTGTCTCTATTTACTAGAACCAAGTAGCTTATGCACAAATATTTATTTAAATTTAAATTTTAAATTCGTCTCGAATCCCAATAATGGGGAGAATTTTTTGAGAACATTAGGAACCAGGGGAGGGTTTATTGGGTTAATTAATATAGCTGTGTTTGCGTTTTCAAAGTGTTGCATAATATGTTGACAAATATAATATCTGATGGAGGTTCTTTCTGAAACGGTTCAAAAGTTGATGGGATGCTGATCTGGCAATTTTGTATTCTTTTCTATTTTGGATTTTTCATCTTTCTTTAAAGTTCGATAAATTCAAATTTATAGAAAGAAATATTTATCCTTCTATCATAACTTTTTAATGTCGTATCAACGAATGTATACTAAAAATGTTCAATTTTTATAGACGGATGATTTGTTAAATAAGTCATTTATTAGAGGATGACTATAAATAATTATTTTAAAGAGAAGTTGATTTTTTTAGATGATCAATCATTCAATTAAATTGTTATTATTCAGAAAATTATATTTTTTCGCAATTTTCCTATCTTTTCAATTAAAAAAATTACTTTATGAGATAATAGCTATTATCAGTGACGGACCCAAGATTTTCGTTCAGGAGGTTCGAAAAATAAAAGTATAAACGTGTAAATAAGCCTGAATTTTTTTTAAAAAAAAACAAAAACAAACTGAAAAAAATAAAACACTTTCACTGGGATTCGAACCGGTGACGTACAACTTAATTTTAGGGGTACTTGCCATTGCGCCATTAGTTTCTCTTTGTTATTGAGGGGGTTCAAAATATATATATCTACAGAAATACAAAAAATTTACCTTATATATAGCGTGTAATTTTTTACCGAGGGGATTCGGGTGAACCCCTGGATACCACGTGGGTCCGTCCCTGGCTATTAACTTAGTAATCATCAACAATATCAACTAAAAAAAAAATGTCTCTCTGGAATAAAAAGGAATTGATTTTTGAATCCATACTGAAAATTAAATACGTTGAACTGAATCCTAAATAATGACCACATTATATTGTTGGTCAATCTTATGTAACTTACGTCCGAAAAGGCTGGTGGGCGCACGTGCACTCGTTAACCTCGAAAAAAATCAGATATATATATATATATATATATCTTGAGAAACTGATAGAAATTAAGATATAATTAACAGTGTACTCATAAAAAACGTTAAATGCAATTGTGCTGCTGGTACAAGGTGAGACCTGGGTTCGAATTCAGCTAGAGTGTTTATTTTACTGTTTTTATTTCAAGTTTATCTTAGAGCTCTTATTTGAGCTAAGGTAACATTGGTGCACCCAAAGTCTTCAAATCTTGAGTTCGCCTCTACTTCCTCCCCACCCCTCGAATACATCCCGTCCCACTCCACTCCTCATTTTCATTGTATTTGTATAGAATATACACATATACTTTTTTGGATCATATTTCTAGTTTTACTCAACACCAAAAAGTTACAAGTTTTTTAAAAAAAAACATTATATTTCATTTATGTCAAATACACCAAATATAGTTATTTCATCTGTTTCAATTTACATGACATATTTACCTTTTGGTCTATTCCAAAAAGAATGTCATATGTATATAATTAGAAATAATTTACTATTAAATTTTTTGTTTTATCCTTTAACGGAATGAATAAGGTGGTAGGTATGGATTCATATTAATTTGCTCCCATGAGGTTTGGAGAGCCAGAAAGGGTGCAATTTTGCCATCGAATACAATAGTAAGTTGGCTCTTCCATCACCTTGGAGTCACCTTGAGTCCTTGACAGATACCGGCTGGATCTCTCTAGTGTTGTTTGTTTGCCATTAGTCCAATGGCCACAAAGTTCGATGTTTTATATGTTCACTCAAACAATAGTTATTATTTCTGTTAGAGTTTTACATTGCTTGTGGGAGGAGTTCTAAGTCTTCTTATATAATCTGTGACGGTCCTCTCTTCATAAGCTAGTTTTTAAGGTTGAGTTAGGTTTAAGGTTGTTTTCTTTGGTACAGAGTCAGACTATCCCGATTCATTATTTCTGATATTAAATCTTTGATCTTATATGTCCACGCTTTAGATGTTCAATTTTGAGCATGTGGGGATTGTTAGAGTCCCACAAGTGAGATGAGGTTCTATGTAATCTTGGACAATCCACTCCTTATGAACTAACTTTTAAGATTAAGTTAGGTTCATGATCTATTTTTTTTATCGTCTTAATAAGTCAGAGCCCTCATAATTAAATGGAGGGAGTTAGGAGTAGATTGATGACCATTAGAAAAAAGAAATGGAAATGTTTCTCTGATCTACAAGTCATTATTACCATAAACTTAGTGCATCACAATATAATATCATAATTGTGATTTAATATGCTTGAATAATTGTAGAGAAAATTTCGATTAACATCATAATTATGTGCTCTAGTACTTCTATCCCACTTATAAAACAAAAAACAAAGAGACATTAATTGAGAATTATTAAAGCATTGAAAGACATATATAACCCACAAGAGGGGTCCAATATCTAAACAATCCTTGATGATCAAACACTTGGCTCATAAACACTATACCCCCGTGACATAAGTTCTCGGTGGGGTGAGTTATTTCATCAAATCTTTAAAAAGGAGTTCAATCTTATATTTGATGATTGGCATAACAATAGACTTCATTTCTACGATTATAATTTTCAACCGTTAAAAGATTGAGTGAAAATGATAAGAAGCGCATAAATAAAAAGTATTGTTACATGACAGAATAAAATTTTAGCAGGGGAAGAGTTAATCCTCCCCGCACTATTACCATCTCTAGTTTCACTCTCTATGTCATTGACCAAACAATATCATGTATTGGTTCCGTTGTGTTCCTACAATAAAAGTGAATTGATCACTTTAGTAAAGCAGTAATTTTAACTAATAAGACTAACATTTTTATAGTTCCCTGATTGCTATTAGCTACTAACATTGTAGTTCCGTTGACTGAACATTACTAGAAATAAAGGTGTTTTCACCGTAAATTTTAGAGGGAAATTTATGTTATAGAATATGATTTTTTCACTTATTTCCCACCAAATCAGTTCAATGAAAAATGCATGGTGGGAAATAGATTCTCACTGAAATAATGAGCAACTTCCTATTTTCCTTATCAAAACAATACTATTTTTTCTTTTCTCACGAATTCAATCAAAATATCTAAGGAAATAGTTACCGAACATTCAATGAAAATAAAATAAAATTTAGAAGTGGAAATGTGGAGTATGATAATGAATAGTTGAATACTATTCAACTCAAAATATGATAAACACACTATGATATATATATATACATACAATATATATATCATACTGATGTATACATATTACTCTAGCTATACAAACTAATAATACATGTATACACTAGCTAATAATACATATTACTCTAGCTATACATACTAATGATACATCCCATGTATTTTTTTTCCAGAATTTTGAATATTGATTTATCCAAGCTTCTAAACTTTTATTTTCTTTTATTTATAGATTTTCGATTTTTGTGTGTTTGATTGTTCTAAACCACTAATGTGATGATGTAATGAAAGAGGGAGAAAATAAAGGAGATATTTTTTGTAGATGGAATGAAAGAAAGAGGAAAATGGAGAGAGATACAAGTTTGAAAAAAAGACAACGAGTAATTCGTGATTTGCACCTTTAATGTATACATTTTTTGTAACTTACATCTTATTTTATTATTTTTATTGATTTGTATCATAATCCCTTGAGTTCTTTGTAAAATCATAAAAGTCTTCCTTTTTAATTGTTTACAAAGATAAAATTAACAAATTAACAAATTATTGTATTTGTGAAGATAAAATCAATGTTATATATACATATTTACCACTATATATATCCCTTTTATTTATTTATTTTTGTGCTGAATTTTTAATATGTAGTGATTTAATTTATGGAATGATTTTTTAATTTATTTTGATTGTCATTTTCAATTACATTTAAATCATCAACTGATTGGAAGAGACCCAAAAAATTTGAAATTTGATTTTAATAACTTATATAGATCAGAAAAAAAGTGTAACGGCTTGATCGAGTAGCAACATCATTAGTTATACACCACAAACATCAAATGGTTGGAAGAAACAATTGTTGGGCCAAAATAAAAGATATTTATCTGCAAAAATTGATAGTGTCTCTTCTGAGAGATTAATGTTGCAACTAGCTAAA